CTGGCCTCGGCGGGCGGGCGCTGCCGTACGCTGCCTCTCCCACCCACAGCGTCAGAGGGTGGGTCCTTACCCACGTAACTTCTAGTCGTGGGGTATTATTTGCAGGTTCGTTTTTGCGTCATGAATTGCAGACCCTATGGCTGCTGCTACGCTAAAAACAGCGAGAGAGTGTCTTCATCAATGGCGGGAGGCGGCCGTGAGGCCAGCTCAAGCTCTGCTCCCAACAGCACCCGGCAGCAGCTCCAGCGCAAAGACTTTGCGTGGCAGAAAGATCCGCAGAACTAAGGGAAATTCAGGAGACGCCCACCAGCATTTCCGACAGGCCCAAGGTTTCTGTCATAGTTCCTACAGCCAAACAATTCTGAAGCACCTGTAGCATCATACACAGTGAGTTTCCTGCAATTCATCCATAACACAAGAGCCCGCATCACATCCGCGGTCTAACAAAGCGTGCTAGGTTACACCAAGCCTTGTAAAAGAGGAAGGAAAAATAAGGAAGGAAAAAATCCCAAACAAACAAAAAATGGTAGCTTAAAAAACCATAAAAATCTGTGTTTGGCTTGAATAACAAGCAATTACCATAAGAAGACCAAGAATTGACTAGATGATCTTTTGAGGTCCCTTCCAACCCTTAACATTCTGTAATTTTTATTCTTTGTATCTGAAACAAACTTCAAAGTAGAAATCCTTTACAGCATTTCTAAGCCAGCCTTCTTTTAACCATGGAATGGACAACTCATGTTGGTCACGCACACAGTCAAAAGATTTACTGTGAGATAGATCGAACACAAAGATCTTGGTGAACACGCATATGTATTTAATACAGACTTGTTATCACAAATACTCATCACCAGCGAGCACTTCAATGAAAACCAATTATCCTAGGAAGACTGATGTTCTATTCATGAGCAAAAACCAAAGTGCTGCTGTTGTCTGGTGCTCCCAAGCAACACAAGTCTCTGTCTGGGCATCAGTAAAAGGACAGAACTAGAGGGAACACAGAAATTCAGTGCCGCCAGCTCCAGGCATTCAACTGCTTGGTTTCTATCAGGAAGCAGGAGCAGACAGGACCTTTGCTTACTAACACACGTGGAATTTCAACTGAATACAAAAAAGAAAAGTATTCAGTTTCTGGCCTCTGTTTTAAGGCTAGCATTGCTAGTGCCACTCTCTAAGGAACTGTGAACTTTTTCTGCTGATAAAGACTTCATAAGGTTGTAGTATCAGTTCTCAGTACCTTCCAGTTTGGCCCCAAAGGTCCTCTCTTTGTCTTAACTGATTGGAATAATGCAGGGTCTTCATCAGCTTTGTAGTCCTATAACGTAAAAAAAAAAAAAAAAAAAGAGTCAGAAAGACCCCAGAGCTTCAATATCCCATTGTATAACGCTTCTGCTCAAGACCCCCAGAGTGATTCTCCCGAGTGCCCTGGAGCAGGACGGGCGGAGCACATTTGAGAGCCTGATTTCAGTTTGTGTCGAAGGCTCCATCACACTCGCTCAGGCGCTGCCCATCACCAGCCGTGCGCGCTCTCTGGTTTTATGATGGCAGCACACTGTAGCTGCCTGCGAGCTCAGGATTTTCTTGTGCTGCACACTCTGCGACACAGCACTATCCTGTCGGGTTCGTAAACTTTTGAGGGGAAGAGTAAAGCAGTAATACAGAAAGGAGCGTGCTCATATTCTCCAGGCTGCAGTGTATTTCCACTCCTGAGAACGCAGAACAGAATGGAAGAAGGTGTGAGCTAACTTGCAAAATCAGAAACTGCGCCGTATCGCCCGTGAGACGTGCCCAGGGTAGACGTGGAGCAGCAGTCCAAGAGGTGCTGCTTCACGGGGACCTCCTGCGCACAGGTCAGGAAGAAGCTAGTGTTGATAAAATCAAAAATGACAAATGTTTCCCACATATGGATCCACTTAATTTTACTGAGGAGGGAGGTATGAAAATGATCATTTGCTAAAGATGCTACTTTGGGAATTAGGAAAGGATTAAAAATTGTGTAACTGAGAACACGCATGGTCTACACAATGTATGAAAAACATCAACCTAAGATCACCACCACACTCATGCAACCAAGGAGAGTGGTAAAAGTTTAAGTTGCTTTAAAGCAGAACACATGCTTGGTGGGTGCTACAAAAAAACCCAAGAAAGTTTAGCATAGTTTAAGATCTCATTTTCAAAAACAAATTTCAAGGACAAAATCTGCAGAAGACAGAGTGAAAGGAACGCCCCCAGAAAGCAGCTACTGGCATTTCCCTATCCTGCATCAGAGAGCTGTCACAAGGCATCACCTCTGCAGAGTGCTGCTAAGATGCATTAAAACTACACCTTTACCTTTCTGATGCATCCCCTTATATTAAAAATTAAATATTACCAGTTGCACAATAAGTGTAACTTAAAAAAACGGCTCTCCCTATATTAAAACTGAAACAGAGATGTCTCTCCTGAGATACTGAAATCAGGCAGGTAACCCTGGGGTGCAGCAGCAGTGTGCTTCAGGGTACTGCTTCCCTCAGACAACTGAGTTACAAAGCTCCCGGAGGTGAAGGCATGAACATAAGCACATGCACACCCCGCCCCAACATTGCAGCTTCATAGAGCAGGAACTGTCAGAGGCAGCTACAGAGCAGACCGCTCAAATTTCAAGCTCTTGGTGTCCAGTAGCAGCCGCTTCACGGAAGGGTGCGAAGGGCCCAGGGCAGAGCTGTCTCTCTGAGCAGGGAGCAGTTCAGTCCTCCCTGTTCCGTGGTTTTTTTCTGGAAAGGTTATAAACTCTTCTGTTACAGAGGATCATGTAACCGGCTACTCCTCTCCATTTTTACTCTTGGTCTCAGTTGTACCCTGTGGTAATTAGAGACTAATGAATTATGAACTGTGCAGAAGTATCGCCCTCTCCCATTGTTCTGAAGGGGTTTCCTATTTATTCCCCATATTTATTCACCAGGAAAAACCCAAATAAACCTGGGAAATACAATCCACACAAAGGAATTCCAATCAGCTTTCCTCAGCTCTCCCCAAACAGCTCCATTTCCCTATTTTTCATGTTTAACTCGGGTAACTTGTATTTCAGATGGCCCCAGTGCATATACCACTGAGAAGCTACTCTATGGACTCATTGTTTCAGCTCTGTACCAGAGCCCAGGACTAGCATGCTCATTCTCAAATCTAGGTTCTTCTATCAGTACGGAAGAACCACGGTTACTTTTAGACTGACATTTCAAACACATAGAGCAAGGCCATACAAATTAGTTATTAAGGTCTTCATAACCATTTTGACATTTACAATGCACTTTTTGTAAGCCAGATGGAACTGGAAAATCCAGGAGAATCAGATTTTGCTTACAGAAAATCAGCTGTTATCCTCTGATGCTCTCTCCTCCCCAATTCTTTCTCATTATTCCCAGTTCTCTGAATGCACCTACCTGCACCACACATTAAAATAGGCTGAAGAAACCTTTTAATAGATTTTCCCAGTCATTCTGTGATTAATATATCTGGAAGGCCTATCTACATATGCTTGGTTTATGTTGTGGAATTATTCGACCAGACACCATAGGGACCCCCTATGATAGGATGTTCCCAGCCATCCAACTTCTCACTGCTCAAGGACACTGGGAAAAAGCACTTAGAACCTACATATAAGCACAGATGGAAACACTGAGGGTTAAAAAAATGTTATCTACCAGTAAAATGTAGGAATTAAAACAAAAATTCAAAGAAAATGATGAGTCATGGTAAAGTTTTCTATGCTAGAGACCAGACCACATACAGAAGCTCTGAACCAAGACCCTTCAGGACTCAGTTAACCCAAATCCTGTTAAGGACAGAAAAAAACCTCTGTCTACATTAAAGTCTAGATGGACAAGAGAGCATTGTAGGAACTCTTCTCAATACACAAACCCTACCAGCATGCAAGGAAGAAGGCTGGACTGGAGCCAAAGTACAAATAAACAACTGTTCTTTACAGAGTTTAAGGAAAATATCTGTGCAGCAAGAGCTTAACTCCTGACAGCAACAAGTCCTTCTTAGGAAGAAAACCAGGCGGCTGTTGGAAGAAATATTACAGCTAAAAACCCCTAAAGCCCTCTTGAAAGCTAGACAGGCAAAACATCATTATGCAGCAGCATAACAATACAGAGGAGCTAAAAACCATTTCAAAGAAATACACAAATACCATCCCATCGGCAGTTTCTGCTCAAAATCTCAATATAATATGCATGAGTGCAACAAACTGTTACAAAGAATTGTTTGGAGGGACTGTGAACTGCACACAATAAAGTAATAATCGCTAAGCTTCTGGCTTAGCAATATGGTCGTTCTAGATGCCTATCACACGACAAATTAAGCCTGAAACGGGAGACATCTACCTATGTGAAAAGCAGCTCTTTCGCTCAGGAATCTTTTAACACTCGTACAGACTGCAGAAGAAGAGCACTTCCTATGTTCCATTCTATTTCTTCAAACTGCAGAACAAGGGATAGTATTTACTGCACAGCACAGAGAAAATCTACCTCTTGAAAGGTGTGCTTTAAGTAATTTCACTGATTTGTATAAAATTGTACTTTTAGAACTTTGTTTCGGGCAATGTCATGAAGATCCACAACAACCTAGAACAAGAAATTTCATTTCTTCATCGTACAAAAATAGCTATAAACCTGATTTCAATTTCTTTGTTTTCACTTCACTCTAGTTTCTTACAAATTGTTTCCAAAAATGTAGTCTCTTCTGATGTTAATTGAATGTTCATGTCCGCTTATGCTTTAAAAAGGCTTACTCTCCTGGGAAGTGACTTTTATATACAAATCACATAAAGCTACACAGGCTGTACGCTGGAGATGATTAAGAGAGGGCAGGGTTAAATTTGTATCTAAAGAAAGCCACAGATGTCGGCCAAATTACTTCTATACATACTTAAACGAGCACGAGTTAGCATATGCATGCCATTAATATCAAAGAAATTCCCTATTTTTATATTTATGCTGACTGTAGTTCTGAATCCAAAGTAACTGCTTGCGCAAGGTTTGCTCACTGAACAAAAGGATAAATCTCGAATATATGAAAAATTTTATCAAAGTTGCTGGATCTTATAAATGTAGTCCCATTCTTTCAGTCATACGGTTAGCCAGGACAGTACTTTTGAGTTGCTTTTCCAAGGAAAACGATGGCTGAGAAAATAAACGTACAAACAAACCCTTCCTTTGGCAATGCTGACTATTCCTTTCCCTTAAAAAGAAACGGGTACACCAAGAAACCCACCCAGCCACTTAGAAAGGTAATTCCCAAACAACAAGCATCAAAAGAAATGGCAGAGGCACAGTGACTCCAGCGTGAACTAGTGACTGCTCTAGCAGCACTGAATAAAGACAAAGAAACTGTAGGAAAAGAACCTCGGGGCAAACGGAACAAGCAGACACCAGCGAATGCTTCCACAGAGACCTCTGTTTTCCAAAACCAGCAGCCTCCTCGGAAGGCACGGAGCAAGCAGGCAGACGAGGGCAATGTTGTCACTACGCTGCAGCTGAACTTCCAAAGAAAATTCCTCAAGTTCCACTGCCTGAACCTCGTAAAGATATTAGCATAAACAAAAAGTCTCTCTCATCTCTCTCACGGAGTCATAAGCAGTACCAAGAGAGAAAACAAAGGCCAGAAACTGCAGATTTTCATAACAGAAGAGACTACAAGCATGTAGAGAGTTTCTGCTAACAAGCGCTTAACTGCCCGAATGAATGATTCTACTCCAGACAGTTTTCATTTATCTGTTGGGGAAAATCCAAACCATTTTAGTTTATTCACAGTCATCATGAGGCATCGTTGGGACTAGCTGCACGCTCTGCCCACATCCCCATAGCAGAACATCTACTTACTCCTGGTTCTACTTGAGTTCGATCTGCAATGTCAATATGGACAACTTCTCCACGTGTTAGGATCTAAATTGTGCACCTGCAAAAAGAGAAAAAGTTGTGACTCCCAGGCTGTCACCCAACACAGTGGGGCACTTCACGCAGTATCGATGAGTGCCCCGGGATTTTTCTGGACTTCATAAAGGCAACGTTCTCCAAACCTATCCCCTCTTCCTCTGTCTTTCTCCAAGGTAGTTACAGTTTCATTTACCCACTATCTAATTTTGAACCAGCCCAAGCTCTTCACGTCTCATGCATTCAGAAAATCTGGATTTTAAGATACTTTCATCACATTCATTAGCGCTAATGAAATCAAGCACTCATCAGAAACATCACCCATTCAGTAATCTGCAAGAGCTTTTTGGTCTAGAAGGAAGCTGTGTAAATTCCAAAGTGCAAACCCGGCACATCTCAATGACCTGACGAAATCCAGCAGGGCTGCCTCTAACACGGAGCAGAAGCAGCGCGTGCGGTACGAAGGCGCAGCCGGCTCCCGCCATGCTCTGCCAGGCAGCCCTCGCCTCGCAGCCTCTGCCCGGGAAACGCTCTCCTCTGCAGCACGCCCAGTGCTACAGTCCATCCAAACACTGAAAACTCACTGACAACGACCCCTTTGTGGATGGTTTATAAATATGTTTGCCACTACAGATCACAAAATCTCGTGAAGAGACCTGTGAAGCAAATCTACTGCCTGTGGAGGAAAACAAGAGTATCCCCAGAGTGGAAAATTTACAGAAGCAGCTGCGATACGTAACTCCACAGAAGTGTTCACAGATAAACTCCTCATGAAACCTGTCATGAAACCTGTTTTCAAACAAACTTGTCAGCCTAAGTAGCAGTAGCATGTCTAAGATAAAAGCACGTGAAATAAAAAAGAACTTATGAAATATTTATTTAAATATCTGAGTGAGAATCAAGCACCTGCCTTGGCCTCAACACAAGAAACAAAAACCTTTTTTGTTTTTTGCATCTCATTAGGTGAGACAACCTGGCCACCTTGTTTTTCTTCGTTTATATTAATCATTGGTAGGGCTTTAACTTTATGCAGCACTTGGCTACCACTACCAGGAACAGAATACTTCATCTGGATGACTACGTGCTGCAAACGTTACTAATGCTCGGTATCTGAGTCTCAACTCACGTTTTCTGACGTCCCCAAATCTGGTTTATGCCAGGTCTCAATTTTTATGAAGAAGTCATCTTTCATGTATTCATTCTGTAAGGATTAAAATCAGAAAGTATGAGTCTGAGTACACCTCTCTGCTTAAAGTTGAGATAAATGGTATTTACACATAAGTCGCTACCAAGCCTTGACTAGCAACATGTTTATTTAAATTCTAAAAGAAACAGCCCCTTACCTACACACAGAAATAGGTACAATTGAGGTAACTTGTATCTAAATTGTTAAGTATCAGCTACAGCAGTAAGTATTAAATTAAAATCAGTCATATTGGAGAAATCCAAATCTAACTGTGCATACAAACAGAAGTAACACTGTCATTTACTATCCTTCTTCCTGAACCTTGAAATTCTTTACCTCTGTGTTCAAGTAATTTTCAAGTTGTTAATATTGTAGTTAGTGGAAAACAACTAAAATATATTCGCATGATGTTTTCACTATGTGAGACTATCCTGAGGCAGGGGCAATAGCTGATAAACACCAGGTGTTACTGGATAGCACAGTTACGACCATAAAGGTCCAGCTACCACTAAATTGTATGTTTGAAGACCATCCCGGAACACTTGTAACTCCACCCACCAGGGTGCGATGCATCCTCCCAGTGACAGTCTACATGAAGCTTGCAAGCAAGCAGATAAAGCAACTTAACATTAAACTTAGAAGCTTCCTTGAACAGGTCACCAAAACGTATATACAGGGAAACAGTCTTAACCGTCTCTTTCCCACTCAACTTAAATAAAACCCCAAAACCCCAGCCCCTAGATCCATTCAGATTCTCGGCTAACCCGTGTCAGCTGAGCCAGTGCTTCACTGGACACAAGTGGGATCTCACACAGTTAGGGACTGATTTAACTTCATTGCTCTTCCTGCACTCAAGAGTCTAGAAACCTCCAATCTGGCATGTTTTGTTTTTTTTCCTTTTTTAGCATTACATCTTACCAGGACAGACATTATGCAGCTGTGATGGTAAGTAAAGGCATAAAATAAGATGTAGAAAATGAAAGCATTTCTCTGACAAATTACAGTTCTTTCTAATTATAGCCACGTGCAGAGTAATAAAGTAACAATAAGCCATGTGCCAGAAACTCTTTTATATTTGGCAAGGTATATATAAAAGGCTTGAGCTAGCTTGTTAGAGTCAATTGCAGCCATAAAATGAGATAAAACACAAATTAAACAACCCAGCACAGGGCAGATAGCAATTCAAATACTCACTGTCACAACTGGTCGTTGGAAACACACACCATGAAAAGGAAAAGGAAACACAAAGTGTTATTAGATACAATCGTTTCTGACAAGTCTCCCACAGGACAATTGCTTCACAGTACGAGAAACGTTCAAAATCAGTCCAACGGCATTTGTCTGCATCGTCAGCAGAGCTCAGCAGACTTTGACTTGCCAGCCTTAACCTTAGAAGTTCATTACAAGATACTTTGAACTGCTCAACAGAAACACAAAAGAAACAGAGCCTTCTTTTAGAACTCACACAATTAAAAGTATTACATAAAGCAGTCACCTTATTCTAACAGATTCTAAGAGGCTCAGTTCTAGACTGTTACAGAATTGCCCCTTCATCTCACCGCAGGTACTGAGACTCTGCAGGAACCAGGAAACTGCTCCACCGAGGCTGCTCTTCAGAAGCAGCTCTCCTGTTCAGAAGAGGAGCCCTCGCAAGTGCAACATCAAAATCCAAAACATATTTTCCACTGGATGGCACCCTCTTCTCCTGGACCATTAAAGACCATCCCTTGACTAAACATCAACAGCCGAAAATGCAACAGGAGACCTACTTGTCCTACAGTAGGGGTACGCGTTCCAAGCCTTCTCGTGGAACACCAGGGAGCCCTCTGGAGCAATCATCCTCACAAACCCAGGGACTTTACTGCGAAAAACAAACATGGACAACATTTTCAAGTGTGCCACCTGAAATTCCTCACTGATTCTTTCCACGCTACGTAAGCATGCTACGTAAGCACTTTAAAGGTTATAATGTACGAGTTACCTATAGTTAGATGTGCAGGAACTCCAACAATGTTACTGATCACAAAATAATTAACGAAAAAAGACCCAAAAACCAGGGGAGGTGGTAATGAGAAAACAGAGTGAGCTAAAAATTAATTTTGGAAGAACTACGATCACGACATAAGCTGTGCTTTCTTTTCTACTCATGGATTGGACGTTTTGCATGGTTCCCATTACTCTATCCCACATATTTAAAATTCACTGTATTTTACATGTTCTCCCACTCACCAGAGCATTTGCTCAAAATTCAGAAAAAGACAAGTACCCCAGAACAGTAAATAATGGAAGGCTGCCCTCACTTTTAAACATTTCTTGCCCAACACCAGGTGACTGTAATACGTATCAATGTTTTTCTCACCTCTTTAAATGATAGATTTTGTGAGTATATTGTCCCTTCTCGCCATCCTTTTCATAAGGCTCATTTTTTAAGACTTGAATTCCTTCACCACCTCCTGTTTCATTTTTGCTAGCTTCTGCCACAGAATAAAGTTGCCCGACCTGATACTGAAAAGTTAAGAGAAGTAAAATTCCAATGTTAAAGTTAGCCAGAACTTTTGCTGCGTTAAACATTTAGCTGTTTGCAGTGAAAATCCGGTAGTACAAGCAAACTTTTCAGGAAAGTAAAACACACCATATAAAACAATACCAAAGGATGACAATGTGCTGGCGAAACACTAGGTCTGTAATCAGCTTGTTTGGCATTAACGCCGCACCTTGGTGTAGCGTACGAACCACAGTATTCTGCATCTCCCTCATCCTGAAAGCCAGGCACATAGGTCGTTCTTAATTGTATAAAAGAAATGTACTTTGCAGTTTATAGAGTTTGGAATTACTGATTTTCAGCTCTGAGCCTCCCAAATTCATACTTATAAGCAACCAGATACTCATGAGACCCATAAAATGCTGACCATAGAAGCAAGCAAGCACAACATCTTCCCCCGAGGGTGGTTGGGGCACCAGAGCTACCACGGCTCTTATTTCAATGTACCTCAGCCTGCGCCTCCATCAGCAGGTTTTTGCTGCGGCGCAGAATTACACAACTTTCTTTTCTTGCTTGTAAGAGCTGGGGTGGCTCAGGTTCTTTGCCTGCAGGCCTCTGCCTCCTTCGACACCCACCAATGGGGAGAGGTGAGCTCTGCTCCGCCCGAGCGGTGACTTACCAGCAGGGACAGTGCGGGACATGTTTGGATCCAGGCTAGTCGGCTTTAAATGAGACACCAACACCTTCCCACCCATCACCCCAAAGCAAAAGCAGGTTGGATGAGGACATACCTCTTGCACTGAGCAAGGTAAAACCACTCGGCTGAAAGAAGAAAAGAGCAAATTCAACAAAATGAACAATTAGGCTTTATCCGCAGATAACAAACTTGTACAAAGGCATTCAAGGACGAAGTGCCAAAATGAGTTATTTCAAGTTTTCTTTTGAGAAGTACCCTGTGACAGTGAGGCTGCGTGGATGCAATGCAACAAACCCAAGGAAAATTCAATGACAGATAATTAAGAAAGGAAAAAAAAAGCAGTTAATGTCAGAAGCTGCGGAGAAGAGCCACAAAATCCAGGATTTCCTTCCAGCTCTGCCGTAACTTTGTACTGTGCTGAATTTGCTCAAACTTCGAGGCACGAGCCTTCTTCTCACGCCAAGTAGTCCCACCTGCACAATTTCAAGGCACAAATGTGTAGGCCCTCAGAGCCCATGAATTTTGGATCTTAGGGCAGTTATGATCGCTCAAAAAGCAACCACAGCTCATATCCCGTTTAGGGGGCAGAAGCAAGTGCGTTTTAGGGCACCAGTTCAGTTCTGACACAACGTGTTGCACAGCTGACAGCAGCGCCAGGGGGTGCAGAAGCTGATTTTCCACAGCAACAGCAGTTTCATTTTCACCTTACAGAAAAAAACGGACAAAGGCAATGCAAATTGACACCACAGAACAACTGCACCACTCCCAGGGTTTTACAGGTGATGCTCACTGACAGCGCCTCACGGCCACTAAGGTTCAACCCAACACAACCACCCTGAAAGCATAAATAGAAATTAAGCCTGTTCGCTGCTCTAGAAAGGAAAAAAAATTGGAGTGAGCCGACTCAACGCTCGCCACTCTGTTCGCACGTTGTGATCAGCGAGTTTCCTACGTTCTTGGTCAGGTACTACTCTGAGAGTAACTTCAGCAGCTCGAGTGCCCTGCACAGCAGTAAACGCAGCGGCCTGGGGATTAAATTCAGTCTTGCAGCTTCCACGCAACATCTTTATCTCTTACTGGATAAAGACTTTTCTACTTTAGTCTGCCGTGTGCCTCAGTGAAACAGTTTTCATAGAATCGCAGAACGTCTTAGGTTGGAAGGGACCTTAGGGATCATCTAATCCAGCCTCCCTGCCACGGGAGGTTTTACCTAAACTGTGAAACCTGCAGAGACAAACTGAGCAAAACAAAACCAGCCTCAGATGTCGGCAGATGTCAGGCCGGAAGCAGAGCTGGGCGCTCAAATAAAGGACACATTCGCCTCGGTAAAACACCGGCCCCGCGAGGGGCGCC